TGGGAGCCCAGCAACATAGCCATTACACTAACTACTGCTCCCCACTCTTTTTTTTTTTTTTAAGAATTATTTTACTCAACTTTATTTATCCATTTATTATTATTATTTGTCCAGAGAGGACAGAGTGAGGGAGAGAGAGAGGGAATGTGAGAAAGCAAGCCTCCAGGTCTGGGACTTGAACCACGGTTGTGCATGTGGGAGTCCAGTGTCCATAACCACCACACCAATGGCCGGCCCTCTCATGCACTCTTGATTATGAATAAATTTTAAAATAAGATAAAAATATTCCCCTGTTTATCACACTGCAGCTATCCCTCACAAAACTTAAAACTGTTTACCCAGCTATGAAGGAGCCATTCCAAGTTCTCACTAAGCCTGATGGTTAAGGGAGGTGGACCCTTAACCTGACTGCAGTTTGACTCCGGGCTTGGCAGCTTGAAAAACACACAGGGCACATGTGTGTGCACCCCAAATCCAAACAGGATGGAGAAATGGAGTTGAGCTTGTGGAGATTTTGGCATCTGGCTATCTTGTTTGGTTAGATACTAAGCGTAGCCCCTTCTGGTCTTCCAATTTATGGCCAGACTGACTGCAATGATGAAGGAAAAATTGGTAGCTGAAAGAACAAAAATCCTAGTTGAAGAGGGGAGGGAAGGAAAAACACCTGGCTTCTGTCCCATGTGCTTGACTGAAAGGCACAGAAGAGGTTCCCTGGCCCACCAATCAGCAGCTTTGATCCTGCTGTCTTTCTCCTTCCTTTTGTGGTCACATGTGAGAGGGTGCTGAGAGGTGCTGGTTTGGGGAAGAGGGGTGAAGGGTTGCAATCCTGGCCTTTGTTTTCCCAGTTTCAGGTTTTTTGTTTTTTGTTTTTTCCTGGCAGTATAATTCTCTTAATCATTAGAAGGTTTTTCAGTCCATTTGCATTCAGTCTTCCCCAGAGCTATTAACTAAAGCTAGAGACCTCATTGAAAGTTATAGTTGTTGAATGGAGTCCCTGACTGTGGTGTTCAGAGAGGGGAGGAGCTGTCTCCTAGCAACATGTCCCCGTGTCCCCGGTGCTCTGCCCATCCCAGGAGCCCTGGTTATGTGGCCTCCAGCTGGGCCTCTGCCCAAGGGCCTCACAAACCCCTCATCTGCAGTGGGAGGGAGAGCTCATTTTCCCCTTCTCATTCAAGCTGCATCTCAACAGAAGGCTGCTTATAATGGAAGCTTCTGGAAGATTATAGGAGGGCACAGCAGGCAGGGAGACTGCTAGGCCTCAGGCTTGCCTCCCTCTGAGTTTCCAGCCTCCCAGCTTTGCTTGAGCTGACTTTAGCTGGAAGCCACAGAACTGGCTCTTAATTACCTGACTCTTAGCCATATTGGATTCTTGACCTCAGGCAGAAAAGACCTCTCTGGACAAGCCACATTTTCTTCCTCTCTGCTTTCAGATGGGCCCATTTCTGCCAGAGTGTGTTTCGTTCTTGTTGGACCTGACTGAGGCCATGCAAAAGACTCCACTCTCAACATCTTGACATTTTTCTACAAGTCCCCTAACGTTCCAGCCTTGGTAGGTACATGGTCTCAGCACTAGAGGGGGTGGAAGACAGTTTAATCAGCTGCTTTGCTGCTTCATGACAGGATTCACCAACTTTTGAGTATACTCTTCTACCCATCCCCCTACAAACACACACTTTAGTTCAGCTAATTCCTTCTAAGGCTATGTTATTTGGAAAAAAAAAAATCCAATTTCTGATTCTAATTTCTTGGTTAGAACCTTTTCCTGGTGCATAGACCCAATCCTAGCTTAAGCCAAAGGGGAAATTGATGAGTTCACGTAACTGGACAACTTTGGCTCATGTAATTGAACAAACCAGTACCTCAAACAATGTCTGCAAGCGATCTCCATCTCCATTCTGCTTTTCTAGGTTGGCTTCATTGCCAAGTGGCTCCTCCCCAAAGGAGACAAAAATGGCCCTAGCAGCTCTGGCCCACTCACCAGCTTGGAAACCTGATCCCTAAAAGGATGTTTTCCTTAGTAGTTCCAGAACAGCCCTGGGGCTCATTGGCTTAACTTGGGTACTCTGTGCCCATCTCAGGACCCAGATGGGCCAGGTCTAAGTCACATCCCCCAGACCATGTGGACTGAGAAAGTAGGGAAGGAAGGATGGTTCTATAGGGTTGAAGCAGCATGCTGTCAGCAGGAGGACTGGGTGTTACACTGGCAAAAGGAACAGATATCTACCCAAACACCCTTGTGGAAATGCCAGAAGGACTCAGGAGCTGGAGAAGATGGAGTGAAAGACCTAAGAGTCAGTAACTTCAAGGTGTTGTAGGACGGGAGAGCTGATCTGTGTCGTGTAGGAACAGGGTATGAGGAAGGAGACTGCAGATGGTCTGGTTGTACCTCCAGATAAGTTGTGATTGATGTGACAGGTGTCCTTTTGCTACTTTGTTAGGGCTACCCTCTCATTTCTAATTTCTAGCTAACTACCTATCACAGTCTGGGTCAATCCGTGGGCATAAGCCAGAGTGACTAGGAGGAGGATGGAGGCAGAGTGTTCCCCATCCCCCAATCAAGAAACAGGAAGTTTAGGAAGGTAACAAGAATAGAAGGTCAGAGAACCCGAGAACGGGGCAGCATCATGGTAGCCAGTGACGATGGGGAGGATCAACATTACCAGCCAGGATCCCACGTGGGTGAATATTCTTGATGACACCTGGGTTGCCTGGTTAACAGTGGTGTGCTCCTGACTGTTGTGGCCCCAAAGAGCACAGTGACAACTGAGGATAGGAGGAACCCAATTACAGGCAGTTAGAAAGAAAACAGCAATGGGACCAGCAGGTGGCGTGATGGTTAAGGTGCTGGACACTCCCATATGGCTGACCAGGGTTCAAGTCCCGAATCTGGTGGCTTGCTTTCTCACTTCCTCTCTCTCTCTCATTCTCACCCTCTGTCTCTCTCTGCTCAAACTAAAAAATAAACGAATGAATAAATAAAATACATAATTATAAAAAAAAAAAAAAGAAAGAAGATAGCAGTGAGGAATGAGGTGGAGACTCCACAAGGCAGAGGAAGGATGACTGGAAGCCAGGGAAGGAGTTTGAGGACAGTAGTAATTGAGGGTAATGAAGGGTGGGATGCCAAAACAGGGGTTTGTGCCAAAAGAGTATAGAGGGCACAGATATAGGGCTCTCAGGGTGAGAGTGGGGCGGGAACACTTACTGAGGCCTACCTGATTTTTTCTAAGTCTGAGAGAAGGACCTAGGTATGTGGAGTAGCAGGGATGGTGAAGGAGGGACAGGAACAGTGACACACACACACAGGTAGCAGGTGCGATAAAGTCTCGGTCATTGCAGTATGGTACCACAGCCTGTTGATGGGTGTGGTACCATCTTATTTGCATGAGATGAAAATAAGGATCTTCTTTTTAAACAAATTTTTAGACATAACATACACTAAAGTACATATAATGCACTAATATTCAGTGTACAGCTCGATGTGGTCTATATGTGTATATAAATATACCGGTGTGGCCACCACTCAGATCAAGACACAGAACATTTGCAACATCAAATAAGGTCTCCTCTGCCCCTTCTCAGTCCATAGCCCCTCTCCTCCTAGCCTCTGTTCTGACTCTGCCCTTCTCAATATTGTCTGCTCTTGAACTCCAGCTTTCTGGAACCCTGCAGATGCTCTCTTTAGTACCACATAGTAGGAGTGGCTCCTCCCTGCCTGTGTACCCGTAGTTCCTTTCCTAACGCTGGTAGTGTTCTATTACAGATACACTGTTCGTTCGTGGGCACTTGGGTTGCTTCCAGGTTGGAATCATTATATATAAAATTCATTCCTTTTTTGATTGAAATTTCGTTCTCTCTCACTCTCGCACATGTACAGGCCCTCGTACAGGTACCAGAACAGGACTACCCCCTCCAAGGTCAGACCATTGGTCTCCCCTTTCCCTCCATTCTAGGCGCCTATTTCTTGGGAAATCAATTGGCTCCTGGGTGGGGGATGCCGGAGCAGGAGCTGGGAGGGGTGGGCGGGAGCAGTGACAACAGCCACCTAGGACTTCCTCCCTCTCTTCCAGCCTTGTCGCCCCTGACAGCGGGCGCCCTGAGCCTTCCTGACCCCGCAGGGGGGCTCGCCCGCGGGCCCCCCATGAGCGCGCCCGGCTGAACAGCGGGGCGGCCGCGGTGGAGCCGGAACGCCGCGGGGGCGGCGGGGCCATGGCCTCGCTGGACTTGCCATACCGCTGCCCCCGCTGCGGGGAGCAC